TTAATGAACCATGTTGTCTATATTGCTAGGTCATTTCTTCTGCCCTGTAATATATAAATATAAGGAGCTTGCAACTGAAGGGCATTATATTGAGGGCAAATAGAAAGAATTCCTCTACTGCATGGTGCATTGCCTCATGCTTTCGTTGCTATGGGATGTAATTGTATTACCCACTGTACTGATAGATTTCAAAAGGCTAGTTCATAAGCAGTAATAACATTTGTGGCAATCTGAGCTAAGTTAATGAAAAAGATAATAAAATCTAATGCTACAGGGCAAGATATTGGATATCTCCAGGGGTCATAAAGAGATCATACATCTGACTCGGGGAAGAGAAGGAGGCAGTTGTATATATGGAGCACAGAAGAGACAGCAGACAGCAGAAAAGTGAGGGTCACCTTGCTCAGCAGCAATGTGTGTTGCTCACTGACAGAGGCAGGAGGGTATGTGCTAGATGTATTGCTGAGATGAAGAAGCTTATCAAGCTAATGATATTTTTAGTAATGCCAATACCTGATGATGTATAAGTTTCATCTGATCCCAGACATTTGTCTCTATGTGTTGATTGAGTAGTTCACGTGTGCTTCTGCCTTGCCCATAGCAGACATACTTGGTTGGAGGCTGATCACAGATGGCATTGGAATACCCTTTTTTTTTGTTTTTCAATAAACACTTACTCCAGTCTGAAACTCCCTTCTGTTCCTGATGTCAGCGTAATATTTTATTGCATCTCTAGACAATACCCTGTGGCGACGTTTTCCTGCTTCTAACTACAAATGCAGCAAGTTTTCGGTGTGGACACTTTCATCACTGCATACTCGTTTACCCCTTGAGGGTCCTGACAGTGGCTTATGCTCTGGGTAGTAGGAGAAATAGTGAATGTGCTCCTTGTAGGTACATAATTGATAATGCTCAGTATGAGACGTGCAATTGTAACTGTAGTTGGCATCCAAAACTGTTTTCTCTCACAGACTTGTGCTATATTTATTGCAATTATCTCCTTCATCCTGCTCTGCTTCTTTGTACATTCCTTGTTAGCATTTCTCTTTTTCTGCTTCTGCTCTCCTTTATACAGATCTGCTTTTGACTAAAGTAACAATTCTTATACCAAGTCCTAGCCATCTGAGGCCATCTAGTGCTATAGCCTGTGTCTGTACATGGCCAGGGGTAGATGATTAGGAAAACCGAGAAAGCTAAGGACTGCATGAAAGCGTCCCTCCTTTTATATATCTTTCCAAGTCTCAGAGACTTCCTAAATTAGGTGTTTTAACTACCATACTGTGAATTTGATAGTTTGATATCACTTGATAGCTATTCCAATCTGAATAGAAGTTTTGAATCCTTTTTTGAATGTCTAGATAAATATTACTGGTTTCTGATACATCCAGTAAGAAGTCTTAAGAGTTCTTCAGTAAAGTACTAATAGAAAAACATTGGTAGGAGAAACTGTGGGGACTGATGATTTTGGCTCTGCCTAGCCATTCACAGCCTCTTTCTCTTCTACTTCTGTGCATTTATGAAGCTCACATTCATCCTATACAGATAAAATTTTCACTGATAATCTGTGCATATGGAGACCCTCCTATCATTTACATCTTCTGTGCAACTCTTCTGTTAGATCGCATACGCATGTAAGAACTCACCTAGAGGTCTGCCCCAGCCTAACCATGAGACAATCTCATAATAATGCCATAATCCTCCAAGCAGGATGAGAGGGGTATGCTGAGGTCACAAGGATGATGGGAAGGACCAGCAGGGAATATCCAAAGCAGAAATGGAGCTACATAACTTAAAGCTCACAGCTTGGTACTGAAAAGTGGCTTTGCTTTCACACAGCTCATCAATGGTAGGATGGTGAAACAGAAGAGGTAGCAAATTGATCTCACAACCCTCAGCAGCAGTCTCACATGATCTTAGTGCAGAGCTAGCACACTGCATGGTACCATCTAGATATGTCCTTGTATCCTATAAATGAGAAAAATAAAGGGCTATATTTGATACTTGAGTACATTTTCTTTCTTCAGAACAACAACTACACACAGAATTTAATGGGAAATAATGAAGAAAGAACTTTTGGTCTATAAGCTTTTAGTATGATCGTCTGCATCTTTTAAGTATTTACATGGATTTCATGCAGTAATACTTAGTACTTTAGTATTCTAAATAGCTGTATTTCTATGAAAATTTTCTAGCTTCTTTTCACATCTGTCGGAAAAGCTTCATTAATTCCTAGTAGGGTTATTTGTCATGTTTCTCCTGACTTTTCTGAAACAAACCAAACAAACAAACAAACAAAAAATCCAGTTGCTAGGTTTTACAGTGGAACAGAAGACATAATGGTAATAAATCTGCTTGAATTTATCATGAGAAGAATAATTACATTTCTATAAAGCTTGGATTGAAAAAAAGAAAAAAAAACAAAAACTCCAAATCCCACAAAAAGCTGATTAAAATCTACCATGTAAAAATTGACTGCTTCTACCTGCTCCTCTCCACAGTTCCTGAGAGCATCACTGTGTTTATATTTTGAATGACTGTGATATGGTATTGAAACTAAATCAGGTTTCAATAAAACAAGGTATTGAGGGATTTCTGTGGGGCTGAAGTTCAACCTAGCAGTCTTGAATATGTAACACCAAATACAGATTTTGCTTAAGTTAATACCAAAGGGACTTTTATTTAGCTTGCTTTCCTTTTTTGCTCTACAAGAGAAAAATGAAGCTCATCATCTCTAAGAAAGTCAAAGTTATTCCAGAAAAGTGAGAGATTACAATGTTCCCAGCATTGCAAGTAGAGGTAGTTGTTTTAAACAATAGCATTCAACCTTCTGTATTGCTTCTCTCAGTCTTTCAGCACAGCCCTGAATGTCTGCAGGATGGATTCTCAGCTGCTGAGAATCATCCAGATCCCAATGTATGTGTATGTGATTATTCAAGGTTAGCAAAAATATACTCCCTGTGGGAGAAACAGTCAGTGCAATTCAGACCACATTCTTTTTTCCTTCCTTGCCATAGAGGAGGCTATTGAAAATTTGTCTGATTGAAACTGCAGGTTTCTATTCTACTCATGAACAAATCTAATGTTTCTAATTGGGGTTAGGTGAAGTATCTCTCCCCATGAATGGATGGCCAACAGGCAGGGTAAATGAGTTTAAATATCTACTGTAAATTGAGAATAAATTCAACTCTTTTTCCCACATGATAATTGCTGTCCTTTCCATTCCTGTACAGTGTACTGGTTGTGGAGTTTTTTGTACATGCGGTCCATGATCAATGATCCCATGTTACAACTTGACTGGAGAGGAGGGAAGAAAAGATTCATGGCTTGGGTTTTCAATCAAGTTGCCTTCTTAGCCAGAGATAGGTGCCTGATCATTGCCAGTTTTATTAGATTAGATACTTAAGTACAACTTTTGCATATCCTCTTTATTTAATTTCTGATGGACTTATGCAGGCATTTGCTGGTTCTGGGGGTACCCTTCTTACACAGATTCCCACACAGTGCCTGGAATGACCAGGCTCTTCTGGGACCTGGGGACTCTATGTTGGGATAGGATGCACCAAGAGCAGTGAAATATTTATTCTGCGTCTATCATCTTGCCACCCAGCCACTGTGGCCACACATCCCTCGTCCTGTGCAGTGACCTGGTCATTAATGGGTGCTTCATCCAGGTAGTATTTGCTCAGGCATGGGAGCCTTTGGAGCAGCAGTGTCAAATGGGACTAGTAAGGGTGTCCAGTGCAGCAGAACCAGTGAGGTGAGAGATGTGAGTGACTAGGGTATGAACTGAGAACCTGTCCAGATGGAGCCTGCATACACCAGCTTCTCTCCCCCTGTATGCCCTGGTTTCCACATTAAGGAAATGGGGGGTGCCTTAGGCAGGACCTGCAGTGCTCCCCAGCAGGTGATGGTTGCGGTGCATAATGTGCCAGGGCCGTGGGGCATGTCATCTGGAATGGTTACAGCTATGACTGCTCCCACTTACCCTGGGTGAGCTTACGCATAATGCGTATTAACTTGCCATGGTTAATATATATTTGAGTCTCTTAATGAGACTTCAGAGCTAGCCTTATGTAGCATCACAGCTTGACAAGGCTGTTGTTTAGCTGGGTGCTGGGACCTGTATGCACTCAGTACCCCTGTACCCTGCTCTCCAGTATAACCCTCAGAACCCACTGCCATCTGGCATTTCATTGTTCAGTATGTTCCAAAAATCCCAGAGAAATGCATTAATTCAGTGCTTCTCTGCTGGTTCAGTTCCCAAGCAGCTGGCTGAGGTAAAAAATGGGTTAAACATTTACACACTGACCATTCTTGGATTAGACCGGGATACTGTCACTTTCTAATCTTTCCACTGATAAAATAGCTGGATCACAGTTTTAAAGTTCACTGCAGCCTAGGTATTTGGCCCTTAAAAATGTCTTACTTTGACTCCCTGTATTCTTCTTTTTAATTCCTCCAGAACATCCAGGACAAATACAGGGCTCTGTGAATCATCTCATTCATGCTTCATACACAGGTAACACTGCTGCTTATCTGTTTTATTGACCTGTTTACATATAGCCAAGGGTGGAGCTGCAAGCTGACTGTCAATTGGTGGTATTTTGATTTCCTGGAATACCTGCACTACGACTGATTTTAAGAGTTAAACATTGAAGAGATCCCATCAGTTTTTACAAGTCACATTCCCCCTCAGTTCTTTCTCATAATCGTTGTTACATGGAAGATTACTGGGATCCCAGTAACAATAAAAATATAGGGGAGAAGTCTTTGGCCTTAGTCTGGTGTTTTGGATGATTTGTTTTTCATATTGCACTCTACAGCATTTATGCATTTGTAAATGGTCTGTGCCTCTCCACTGTTTATTAGCAGTTTCTTCCCTGAAAACATATAAACCTGGGTCTGCTTAAGAGCCAGAGCACATCACAGATGAGATTGTGGGGGTGGTGGCCAAAAAATAAAAGCTGGATAGGGTCAAGGACTGAACCTTGGGTCCACCCCTTTCTGCTTACTGCCGTTCTGCTCTTCCCTTTTCAGAGGAAACTACTGAACTTGGTAGGAAGACTCCACTGTTCCATAATCATGGCACTCTTTTCTTCACTAACCCCAGTCTTTATAGCCATTATATGTATTTTGATTTGGGTAATACTAGAGAAGATTGATGGAGAGAAGGAAAAATATGAGACTAAAAGCAAGCCTCTATCTCATCCAGGGGTGGATGAAGATTTAAAAGATGGCACAGACCACCACTTAGAGGAAGAAGGTAAGGAAAAACTTATGCATCTGAGCACTTTTGTTGTTTGAAGTCTATCTGCTGATATGAATAAGGGAGATGTGATCTTCTGGACTTCTCTGCAGTGATAGCAACACATAGTGCTACAGTGGTGCTGTGTCCTGAGCTTCTCAGCTCCCTGGAAGGAGGCTGTCCCCATGTTATGACACCCTTGATGAAAATCTCAATTTCCCCCAGATCTGGCGTGTCAGAATGCAAAAGGAAAATCATTTTTCCAAGGCTTCTGTCTGTCACTTTGCACAGCAAATATCAGATATATGAGGGACAATGTAGGGAAAGAAAAGAGATACTGATGAAGTCCCCCCAGCTTTTTCCCAGGTCTCACTATTGTGAGCAAAGTGTAGACCCGAACAGAGAGTTTCTATCTGAAAGCTGATTTTGTAGTCTCATTTCACTTTACCATCCAGTGCTACATATTTGGTCTCAGCACCCCTAGAAAAGTTGGAAATGGGTTTTTTAAACTTCTTACAGAAGTCTTTCATCTGTGACTTCTGAGGATGTCCATGAGAGTTTTAGCTGTATTGGAAGTGGGATCTTTTGGGAGCTGAGTTGATCAAATATTTAAGAACAAAATATGGTAATGGTGCTAATCTGTTTACCCAACTGCATATTTGAACCTGTATAGAATGCCTCTTTTTTTTTCTGGAGTGATTTCTGATGCACAGCTTGAACAAAAGTCTGAGCACAAAATCTATCCTTCCTTCTTTTTGCTCCCTGACTATTCTCCATAAGCTCCATTTATTTCTTTGTGAAATTAAAAACTTCATAGGAAAAGAACTTTGTAGACTTTTATCTTGCAGATAATGTAGGATTTTTTTTTCTTTTAAAGCTAGTTTCAAAGGCTTTTTGTGCATTTTTTTGTCCTGTAATGACACATTCTCTGTCTGCTTCTAGAAATCTTGAAACTTATATTGATTTTCTGCACATAGACCTGTTTCTAAGGACTGTTCTTTCTCTTTATTTCTCAGTGTTTAGTGTACTTTGTGTTAGTTTTCTTTATCAGTTTCCAGAAATAGTTGATATTTGGAACATTTTAAACCACATTGACTATTTCCCAAGTATTCAAAATGTCTTTAAAGATTACTTCATATGTTGTATCCTTCTTTGTTCAAAGCAAAATAGATTCTCTATAAAATTACTCCATATTTCTTTTCTCACTAATAGCTTACTTGTTCATTTAAATTGCCGCAAACTAAAATTCCTGTGGATAGATCAAGTTATAATCTATGAATTATCACTGACACACATCTTTGACTACAGCTGTTTCTATCAGTTAAAAAATTTAGATCCTCTAGATAAACAAACCTAGTAACTCTTAGTAAGGAGTCTCACTGCCACAGCTCCATATATAAAATATTATTCTTTTAGGTCTTAGCTGGTTTCCCTTTTATTCAGGTGCTAAATTCCAAACTGTGCTTGTTTGCTATTACTTAAACGAGATGTATTTATTTTTAAATAAGACCTCTCTCAAGTTATCATGACATCCAACATGAAATTAAGTTTTCTTGCTATGTTGTTTTCAACAACAAAGAATCACCTTTCCCTTAATGGTGTGTGATTCAAACCAACATCTTTGCATATAGGCATGTCTTTTGTTTCTAGACAAATTAAAATAATTACATCATGCTTAAGGAAGTTTTTCTTCAGTAGTGGAAAGCCCAGACTAAGTGAGAAGAGACTATGGTAAGGATTTGCTACTCTGCTAATGCTGTAATTAATGATCAAAACATATTCACTTTGTCAGGGTTAAAATTTTCACTGACTGCACTAGATGCTGAAACAGAAACATGGATTTAAATAGAGATTTTTTTTTTTTTTGTAGAAAAGAATATTTTACCTGCTGTGTAAATTCTGCTACTGTACTAAGGATCTTACTTTATCAGAAAAGCTCATTTCTATTTAATGTCTCAAGCTGGCTTGTGTTTAAAGATAAAGTTCCTTTGAAAAGCATTTGAATTAGGTGAGATCAAACATTTTTAAGGTCTGAAGCTAGAATCTAGGGCTGCTGTAGGTGAATGAGTTGAATTTTGAACAGCCCCCTGACAGGAAGGGGTGGCTGAAGACCAAGTCTTTCAGTATGTTTACATGACCAAGGTGAGAGTGCTTTGCCAAGAGAGTGAAGTGGTTGGTAAGAAAAACACTGAACTTCCTCAGCCAACCTCAGCCCTGTGAACATTCCCTGAAGTGGCACCAGCAGGGATGCTGCCCCTGAGAGGGGCATACCTTCAAGCAGCAAAGCACTGAATGTAAGCAGATGAACTGCTTGGACAGATTCAGTAGAGTCACTTATTGACAGTGAAAGGTTGAAGGGGAGGGCCAAGTGCTCCCAAGCTTGTCTGTGTTATCGTTTCAGTAGCTGAAGAGAAGGATGTTTTTCAGAGCAGCCAGAAACCCAGTTCTTTGGTTAAGTGGAAAGCATTCACTCAGTCAATTTGTTCAATGCTTTAACTGGCAGTACTTCAGATTTGTTTGCATACCCATCTGTCCTGGAACTTTTTCCTTCATTTATGAGATCCAGAATGAGAGACTGTTGTTCTGTGGATTGGCAAGAATGGGCTGTGTGTATGTTTATCTGGCTGTGTCTTGCATTAGAACATGTGTGGTTATCAGTTAGATACGGATGAAAAAGATGTTTCTTCAGCCTTGTCTTGAATGATGAATCACAAGGTTTGTCTTCTAGTGGTGGGCATCTAATCCCAAAGTGGTAATGCCTCATCTCTCACTGCTTCAGGTTTACACAATAAGATCTGGATTGTTGCAAAGACAAGTTCAGTCTTTAGCTCAGGGAGCTTATTGTATAGTGGTCACTTTCTTGGTTGTATATTCAGATCAGTACAATTGACAGATAAGGTAAACACAGAATTTACAGTGCTGTGGAGGATGAGGTTGAATTTCATTTGTATCCTTGTTACCCTGGGGATCAGTTATAAAGATTAATAGCAAAGGCATTTTATTGCTGTGTATGTAGTTGCGGGGACTTTGGTGATGCACTCAAGGACTAGAAAGCAATGTACAAAGGCCTGAAAGTTCCATCTCTTCTGAAAGTGCCCTGCTCATTGCTTATGATACTTCTTAGAATAGATATCTCCCACTTAAAGGACTTCTCTCTGCAAGTTCAAAAGATTCTTTTAATACTACTACTGACATAAATGAGGCAGTAGCATTGAATTTTCCAATTTGATGACACTTCATGCTTTGTGTCATTTAGGAACACAGGATTTATGTGGAGATGATGCATTATTGCATTATTTTCCAGCCCTGGTGTATATCCTCCTGTGGTTTATAGACAGCAAACAGATTACCACTCAGCTTTCCTTTTGCTACATAAACCAGCAAATCTCTTTATAAAACAGCTGCTCCATTCCCCTGAAGATCTTAAGAAACCTTCTGCAACTATATTCCAGTTTGAGGCAATTTTCACAATATTTTTGCGCTGGCTTTTTTTTTTTTTTCCAGGGTCTGCCTCTTGATACTTCTTCTGCTTAGGATCCCTGATTAACTCTTGAGGTTTTCAGGATCAGGCTGCTAACCACTATTTATAACTCACTAGTAAGGCACTCCATCTCTTTTAGCCGTGCAGTCAGTTCAGGATTGTATTCAGGACTGGGATTTCTGTAGTGGCAGATTATGTAGTAGTCTGCCATTAATCAAGCAATAAAAGACAAGACCAGTTGCCCAGCATTTTAAGTCCAAAGATCTGAAAGCTGTCATTATGTGCATTTAATTGTTTTTCTATGCATTGTGTCTTTACACTGGAAAAGAAGATTGGAGAGGAATTCTATGCTTAGAAAGCAGTTCCTTAGAGAAGAAATTGGAAGAGCTGGTTTGGAAAGCAAACACATTGGTCTTGACTGAGGTTTCAACTGGGGCTTCTCAAGGATCAGATTCAGTATCATCTGATAGTATTATACTATCAAGTGGTCTTTCCATAAAACCAAGAGATGGACAAGTGAAATTTCTTAATGACTTGTAACTGGGAGCCAACAACAAAGGGAAGTGTCAGTATATATAAGTGGCTGATAGAAATTAAACGACAAGTCATTGTTCTGAGTGTATGTTATTTGATATTAATTATAAGAATTTTTGCTACACATTGAGATAAATTATTACACCATTTGAAGGCTCATTATAACTTCCCATACGAACTGCTGAGAAGAGCACAAACATAACCTTAAAATGTATCCAGAGAGGAGTTTCTGATAGAGTTAAAGAAAAAATACTTTTAAAGTGAGATTTCACTTGGGATGTCTGAGCCAAAACCTTTCCAGGTTTGCTTAAAAAGCAGGAAGACTGATGATTATTGTAAATGTACAACAGAGTTCATGGCAATCTTTGGAATATTGGAAGGTAATAGACTGACTAGCAGGATGTCTGTTGTCCATCAAATGATGCAACACATGTGATGTAAACAAGACATTTGTAGTATTGTATAATGTGACCATACAAGCAGGAATATGTCTAAACACAGCAATTAAAGATATAGAGAATATGCACTAAACAGATGGTGCTGATAATGATTTTAGCTTAACATATGGATAATGTTAACTGCTAAGAATGAATGGTCGACACATGGTGTCAGAGAATAAATAATAGCTTAATTTATTAAAAAAATAATTAAATTGTCAGGAGAGTTTTGGCTTTGTGTGTCAGTTCTCTCACTTCTGGGCTCTCCTGCCTCAGCCAATATTCCCACTTCTGAGTGCATTAAGGTTTTTAAAGTTTTGTTCACAAAACTTAAGCTTAGATATAGTGATTCTCACACTTTGATTCTCTCTAGTCACCTCAACTTTGTCCCATGTTCAGAATCTTTGAAAGCAGATTCCTTTTTTCACCATGTTGTTAAGTTGAACCATCCTGACCACAAAGCAGTTTCACTTTTCACGTCTTCTCTTCTCTTCTATTTACATGAAGGGGGAAAAAAAACCCGAAAACCAAACAATGCAAAAGAAGCGAACAAACCTCTGAAAATTTAACTTGGCTTTACCTTGGGTAATACTGCAAGTTTTATACTTCCTGTCCTAGGAGGTGCTGTGTTAACTAATCCCTTTCTTCCATTCCTAGTTGCCTATAGATCATTTAAGTGAGATGTTTATTCAACCAATTACATTTGAGATTATTTTTATACCTCTTGATTTAAAGAAATGGAAATTTCTCTGCTTCCTGATCCCTGAATTCTTCAGTCTGAGTTATCTAGCTTAATTTCCCTTAATCCCTTTTTTTCCCCAAGTTTGTTCCCTTAAAAATTGAAAGTCACAGTTATATGCTTACTTTTCCTCAGCCTTTGAGTTTGTCAATTAAATTGAATCAACTGATAATCTCAATTTAGTGGTGCCTTTTTGGTTTTTTTTTGTAATGTCCTCCCTTCTCACTGAAACCAAAGTGAAGAGATTCACTGCACCAAGAGAAGAACAGGTTGTTTGATTAAGGTATGGGATGCTTCAGCTAGGAAGCCTGGTTTCTTAATATTTCTTCTTCATTCTGTACCTAGAAAATTATGCTTCTGACTGATATTTAATAACAATGATGTGGTTGAGGCAATATGTCTCTATTAAAGGTGTGTCCTGACCTAGATGTGACCTTGGGGGCCTCTACAGGCTTCACGCTATAAAAAAAGTGTATCTCAAAAAACAAGCCTTTGTTTATACGTTTCCTGGGTCCAGCAGTAGCAGTCATTTTTCTCCTTCTTAGTAGCTGGTGCAGTGCTGTGGTTTTGACTTTCAGCCTGAGAACAACACTGATAACACTGATGTTTTTAGTTGTTGCTCAGTAATGTTTACTCTGACCAAGGACTTTGTGAGTCTCATGCTCTGCCAGGGAGGAGGGGAAGCCGGGAGGAAGCAGAGACAGGACACCTGACCCAAACCAGCCAAAGAGCTATTCCATACCACAGCACGTCATGCCCAGTATGTAAACTGGGGGCAGTTACCTGGAAGGGGTAGATCACTGCTCGGTTGGGCTGGGTGTCGGTCAGTGAGTGGTGAGCAGTTGTATTCTCTTCCCTTGTTATTTCCCTTACCATTATTATTCTTGTTGGTAGCAGCAGTGATTTGTGTTATACCTTAGTTACTGGACTGTTCTTATCTCAACCCATGGGAGCTACATTCTTTCAATTCTGCTCCCCATCCCTCTGGGAGCAGGGGGAGGAAGTGGGGTGGAGTAAGCAAGCGGCTGCATGGTTCTGAGTTACCAGCTGGGCTTAAACCACGACAACATGCTACTTTTTACTTCTTTACAGTCTACCACAACATCCATAATTTCTTATTTTTTAATTGATATGCTTCCTGCACAAGTCAAAGCAGGTACTGCTATTGTTATTGCATCTTCATTCTTCCCTCCCTGTCATGTTTTGTCCTGTACAGGCACTTATAGCTCATCCAGTGTGCTACCTAAGGCCTCTGCACTGAACTGGCAACAAGCAACATCTTCTCTGGATTAAGCACATCATTTGAGGGAGTTCTCTGACTACTGTTCTCATCCATATAAGTAATTTAATCTTGTACTTCTTCATTCTCTTCTTCAACTTTCATGTACGTATTGATGGTTTATCACCTACTTGACTTTCCTCTCCTTGTGTTTCAAAACCAGGTACAGAGATTACACAAATTTCATCTATCTTTGTTCTGATTTGACAAATCTTCTTTCTAAAGATTTTCAGTATTTTATAGACTAGTCTTCATAGAATCATAGAATCGTTAGGGATGGAAAGGACCTTAAGATCAGCTAGTTCCAACCCCCCTGCCATGGGCAGGGACACCTTAACGCTAAATCATATCACACAATCTCTAACTTGAAATTATTTCCTTCTTTTTGAACTTTGATAAAAACCTCATCACAAGAAAGTAAATAGTGAGAGCACATAAAAACTCTTGGGACCTGAAGTGAGTTTTAATTGACTGTTTCTAGGCTAGAAATAGTCTATTTCCCAGGACACTCAACACTGTAAACTTGTGAAATATGTAGGGATGATCATCTTGGCACATTGATATAAGCACAAATAGTATAGTCTGACCTGAATTTTTCACCAGGACACTAATACAATACCTACTTTCAGTATAGTTTTCTGGTCAGGTTCTGCTTTCCAATAGACAATACACAACCTCAGCTGATTTCAGGAAGTTTTTTTGTTGTCATAAGGAAAATATGTCTCCCATTTAGAAACTACTCTCACATGAGTACATATGGAGAAAATTAACATGTGTATCATTCTGTGTAACTAAATCTCAATTAAGTTCAGCAATGAATATCTTTGCTGTAGTTTCAGTACTGCTATACAAGATGGTCTGGGAGGGAGAATTAGTTTTATTGGACCAGTAATGACAGTTGCAGGAGGCCAGCTAGCTTCCAGACTTGTAAGTCCTTTGCGAGGAGATTGCAGGAGAGGCTATGTCCCAAAGCTTGCTGATTTTCCATCTTATCTGTGTCAGTGGACACCTTCTGAATTTCTCTACTGGCCAGACATTTCTCAGCCAAGTCAGAAAGGGTTGATGAGTTGCTGTCTCCCTAGTCCTTATTTTTTCCCTTCGGGTTTTATACTTTTGTGGGTCACCACTTTTTCTCTGAAATACTTTGGCTGCCAGTTATTACTGTCTTGGATTCTGCCTGTGGAAGATTTTGCATACTGGCTTTTACCAGCTTAACTTAGTGGTGCTTGAAAATGGCATCATATAGTAACATGCACAGCATGGAATGGGTGAAAAAAATGCAGCTTTAAACATCTCCCTACCTTACCTCTCCAGCTACCCTATCACTCCAAAACATGTAGGATGTTGAACACTGGGTCCCCAGCAACAGCTCTTTCTCTCAGCATCCTATTGCACCACACTACTTGCTAGTGTAAACATAGCCTTTTACCCCTGTGGTATTCCTTTCAGTGAGTGTGGAGGAGGAAGAGCAAAAAGAAATAGGGGTGTGAAAGTTTCTGAAAGAGAATATCACCAGAATCCTAGCAAAGGGGCAAATCTTAGACAGCCAGTTGCCACTGAAGTGTAAATAATCTGCTTTACTAAGTCAAAACCACAAAGGGAACACTAGGAAGAGGCATCCTTTTCCTTTTTCATTTGAGTGTGCAAGACAGCCACAAAAATAATTTTTACAATGGGTCACTGCTTCCCATTACCCTGGTGTCAGGTCCTTGCAGACTGTGACTGAGAGTGCTTAATGCGGGCATGAAATGCTAAACAAAACAGATTTTCTGGGTGACTTCTTTGTATGCAAAATGAAATGTATGTTATTTAGGGACCAGAATAATTCTGTTTAGACTCAACATATGACACTGGATGTATTGCAGTCTCTTTCACATGCTGAGCCACACTTGTGAATATTTCACTGCTGTTTGTAAAATGAACAAAAAATCAGCTTGGTTTCTAAGCAACTGCATGCTACTAAAACACAGAAATAATTGCTGTTTGAATTTGCACTGGAGATTGCTATGATTCCAGAATAATAGCCTAACAGTAACTGAAAAAGAACTGGAATATTTTTTCCTGACTCAGCCCTCTGTGGCAGATTGCTCAATACTATTGACTGGTCAAAATGCAAAGCTTAAATGGCTTTAACTTCCGCATCATAGTTGCAAAAAATGCTATCACTGCTGTTTCTAGGAATGTAGGGGAGAAAGAGGAGATCTCGGAGGCAACAGAAGTGGTATTAAAAAAAACCCAAAGAGACAGTTTTCAGTGAAATGAGGAACCATTTTGAGTTCTTAAATGAAAGAGAAGAAACATAATACCCTACATTTGATATGTTGTTATCCTAAGTATAGATGCCTGTCATCCATTTCCCCTTATGCTGAAAGTATCATGAAACTGAAGAACTTAACCACAAAGTCACATTTGCAGAGCCTAAACTTGTGCTTCTGCTATGAACCATGAATATGGAAAAAGCTGACATTCAGCTCTTCAGGGGAGATTTTACATCTATTGATTGTTAAGTCCTCTTTTTAATGTCAGTAATTTAATTTTTTTCTGATTAGACTGCTCAGAAAGGGACACACGTTTGCATTTACTGATTGAGAAAACTGGGCTGAAGGTTTGGCCACATTTTCACCACTGTTTCAGCCTGTAACCCGTTTTTACAGGCTGTCCTGCAGACTGAAGTGGAGAGGACTATATCTTCTTTGTGGATCACACTTGCTACAGCCACCCAGGACCCGCTTCCCTCTTGGTATTTAAACAAGGTGCTTATTCAGTAGCTGAGGCCAGGGATCAATGAATTGTGTCAACTGGAACCTCAGACTTTGTCTTTATAGTGGTATAGAAGTGGAATGCATGCCAGTGCAGGCCAAAGTGCATTATGGTTGTGAATGCCAAAGATATAAATAGCATTCTCTAGAGGTAAACAAAAGAATTCCTAACCACTTTTGTTTTCTCGCAGAGGTGGATGAAGAGTGGCAAGGACCTGAGGAAAACGTTGCCCATGTCCCCTTCTCTGTGGAGCACTACACTGAGGCCGAAATGATTAAAAGGTCAAAGTTGTTTTATGAGCTTCTTAATAAGAGGCGGTCTGTCAGGTTTCTTAGTGATGAGCCGGTCCCCAGGGAAGTTATCGATAATGTCATCAGAACAGCAGGTATGGTACCAAGTGGTTCAAGGTCTGAAAAAAGAGGATCAGCATTGCTGTTCAACAGTGTAAATGTGATGCGGAAAAGCCAAGGGAATCGGCATTTGGCTTACAGTTTTCCTAGTTTCACCTGTAGCCATAATGCGTGAGCACCCGTTGATTGATCGGAAATTACTCAATTTGAACAACTATGTTTGGTTTGTTTTTTTTCCAGACAAATCAGTGAAATTGTCTCAGCCATAAGTGGTTGACATAAATGGTTAGGGTTTACTATGGGAAAGAAGTTTCAGTCTAGAAGAAAAAACTTTTCCCGTCCTTTCAAATCAGTTCCAGGCCCCTCTTGCATATAGCCGAAGTGTTACGATGAGGACCCTAATGGAGGTTATTTAACTGAATGTCAGAAATAAATTTTTGATTTTTTTTTATTTTTTGAGAATTCATGGGTTTCAAATCATTACTGTCATGTCCTGGACTAATCTCATCTCTGCTTTAGTAACACAGACTTCAGCCAGGAGTGGTTTTGACCCTTACTATTTCTCTTACTCTATGAACCAGCTACTGCTAATATAGAAAGTATTAGAGAAACTATGTAGAAAAATTCAGAGAAATGTTCAGTAGCCTCTAGCAGGATTAACAATACAGACATTTTTAGCATTTGAGGTGCGTTGTTTTCCCATTAAAAACTGTAAGCAGCTTTGTTACTGCACTGTAACGAGTCTCCATCTTCCTCTAATTAGCTGGGAGTCATTAGAACACTGAGCATGTTTTGGCAAATGCAGCATAGCGAACAAGCCTGGAGTGCAGATGAAGTATTTAGTAATCCTGAAAGCTTTGGGCTGTGTAGAGAAAAAGAAAACAAAGCAAAGCATAAATGTCATCAGTTCTTGGGGAAACCTGAGAAGATTCAAGGGTCACAATATAAACACATTTTAATATAAAAGGTAGTTCAAGCTGCTTATTCAGTATTTCTCAAACTGAAATCAGTGCTTAGGTAAGCAAACATTGTATGTGTTCAAGACCTTCAAATATTTTTGATATGTGTATGAGGGGCTAGAGAGATCTAAATAGATTCCTTATCTGTCAGCCTGCAGAGATAACTATACCTTTCAGTTTCTGGCTTTCATCCTCTAGGCTGTTAAAATATTCTCCAATGATGTTGATGTGTAACAAGAAGAGCTGAATGAGCAAGTGCAGATTTAATAATTTGATGCCAACCTCATGAAGTTTAACCATGCCAAGTGCAAGGTCCTACACCTGGGTCAGAGCAATCCCAGGCACAGCTACAGGTTGGGCAGAGAAGAGATTCAGAGCAGCCCTGTAGAGAAGGACTTGGGGGTGTTGGTCAATGAGAAAATGAACATGAGCCGGCTGCAGTGTGCGCTTGCAGCCCGAAAAGCCAACCGTATCCTGGGCTGCATCAAGAAGAGCATGACCAGCAGGTCGAAGGAGGTGATCCTGCCCCTCTACTCTGCTCTTGTGAGACCTCACTTGGAGTATTGTGTGCAGTTCTGGTGTCCTCAACATAAAAAGGACATGGAACTGTTGGAACAAGTCCAGAGGAGGGCCACGAGGATGATCAGGGGACTGGAGCACCTCCTGTATGAAGACAGGCTGAGGAAGTTGGGGCTGTTCAGCCTGGAGAAGAGAAGGCTGCGTGGAGACCTCATAGCAGCCTTCCAGTATCTGAAGGGGGCCTATAGGGATGCTGGAGAGGGACTCTTCATTAGAGACTGTAGTGACAGAACAAGGGGTAACGGGTTAAAACTTAAACAGGGGAAGTTTAGGTTGGATATAAGAAGGAAATTCCTTCCTGTTAGGGTGGTGAGGCACTGGAATGGGTTGCCCAGGGAGGTGGTGAATGCTCCATCCCTGGCAGTGTTCAAGACCAGGTTGGACGAAGCCTTGGGTGATATGATTTAGTGTAAGGTGTCCCTGCCTGCGGCAGGGGGGTTGGAACTAGATGATCTTAAGGTCCTTTCCAACCCTAACGATTCTATGATTCTAATATGTGCACACCTACATACACCAGCTATCCCTGGGACAACAAACTCAAACCTGTATGCTATATGGCAGATGTCAGCATTGTGCAGCTCCTCATCTTTGTCAGTCAGCAACAGATTCCTGGGGTGGTCACTTAGCCTTGTTTCCCTGAAAGCCATTAGCTTTGCCCTTCAGCTAAAATTGTGTCTCAGAGTCGGATGCATAGTCAGACAGTGTGTTGCTTTTGTTATAACACTTTGCAATATCATTACTGTGTGCATATATTGCACCATAATGCTACCTCATCACAACAACCACAAAGGAATTTATACATCCCTGACCTTGGTTTCCTGTAAGATGGCTGTAAGAAAGTACCAACCTCTGTTGTTGAACTGGGACTTCACAGTCTTTGAGAAAGAAATTGACAGGATTGACTGCCAAAATTTATCTCAGTCCTTTTTTTTTCATTGATTCATCCACTTGCTTTGCCATTGCTCAGCCTGAAAGACCATGAGGAAAAGCTGATACCTCTCACTGCGCACCCTCCTTCCTGGGTTTTCATCTTTGCTTGTTTTGTATGAAGGTACTTCACCCAGTGGAGCACACACTGAGCCCTGGACCTTTGTGGTAGTGCAAGATCCATATTTAAAACATAAGATTCGTGAGATTGTAGAAGAAGAAGAAGAAATCAACTACAAAAAAAGGATGGGAGACAGATGGGTTAATGACCTGAAAAGACTGAGGTATGAAAAATTCAGTGAGCTAAGCCGTTTGAGGGGAGCTGTGTTTTAGTCTAGGAAAAACTATATTGGGAAGTTTTAGGCAGACTTTCCCTCTCCATCCCAACTTAATTTCGGGGGGGGGGGGGAAATAGCAAAGTTGAAAAATATCCAGCTTATTTTTTAAAACCTTTGCTTGTGATGAAGTGATAAAAGAAGCTTATCTTGAATTCTCCTAGTATCCTTTCCCATTTCTTCCTCCCTCTCACTTTTAATATATTTCTAAGATTCATGTTGGAAAGAAAAACTTAAAAATACATGTAGAATCCTGCCTTCGTGGCTGGTGCGTAAAATGCCTCCAGTAAAAGGGATTATACGCTCTCCATCTTGAAACTCTTCCAAGCATTTGGCTCCATTGTTATTTTTTTTTCATATGTAACCTCTACTGTCACAATGCTTATCCCAGTTTTTTTCTGCTGGTCTCCAAAAAATGAAGCTCCCTAAGTTGTCGGGATCCTTGCTGCCGGCTAAGGTAACCCCACAACTTGCCTCTGTACAAGTGCTGAATTATGCAATATTTCATTGTTCCAAAGTCTGATTTGCTTAACTTCACACAATGGGAAGATGTCTTCTGAGCCTTGGCTTGTCAAATGAAAGATGTGCATAAAGCTTGAAACTATATTTAGGTTTACACCTTAGACCAAGAAGTTTTGGATTTTTCTACTAGCAGTTTTCCCTAAAATCATGAAAAAGTTGGCACTGCTGGTAACAGGTGAACCTGCAAGTCTGCAAAATCCCAGGAATTAAACAATTTCAAGGGCAAATGCTTGTAAGGCCAGTTCATAAATAAGAGGTCAAGTCCTACCTTCTATTTTTATGCAATTTCACTCTTGAGAGTGAGCGCATCAACTGCTCGGCTGAATCTTTTGAAACAGAGAACTTTGTTCAAGCTTTTTTTTGGTCAGAAATGTTTCTATTTAAGCTGATAATACTTAATCCTTCATAATAAGTGTTCTAAGCTTTAGTTTACTGCCATAAATGTCCCATGCCTTTAGTGTCCCTTTGTAGACAGTAAATGTGACTTACAGGAAAGTGAAAAGGTTGCAAAATAAATGTCTTAAGCACTACTCTTTTGCAGAACAAACTGGATCAAAGAGTACTTGGACACTGCTCCATATCTGATCCTCATTTTCAAGCAGGTATATGGGTGGCTTCCCAATGGCAAAAAGAAGACCCACTACTACAATGAAATCAGTGTTTCTATTGCCTGTGGTATCCTGCTTGCTGCACTGCAGGTATGCTGACAGAACAGACATACTGGGAATCAGTATATTGGTTTGGATTACATACTAAGACTATTTTACCCAAATGAGGGTGGAGCCCAATTTAGATTTTAACATTATCAGTCTTCTGTATTACTCCAATTCCTGAAACTACATCTTAGTTTTGAGTTTTAAAGTTATTCTGCACATGTTTATGTCTGAGAGGGTGATTCCTATTCTCTGGTTAACAGGAATAAAAACATAATGAAGCTTACTTCCAGAGTTGTCACTCTGCTTCTGGCACAAGCTTTAGCTCCTGTGGTTTCTGTCTTGTGCTAACAGGGCTGCCAGGGTCTGCAGACTACCCTAGCACAGCTGTGCAGTGCCACACTGTCCCCTTCTTTTCAGTAACTCCTAAAAAAATGGCTTGACCCCAAATCATTTTCAGTTCATAGTGCTGAAAAAAAATCAGGGACATATTTCACAGAAGAAGCTGCACTATTTCAATCAGTCTTTCTGAGGCGTTTCCAAAAGTGAACTGATTTCTAAAGCTCAGCATGTTTGACACCAGTCAGTGGATTTTCTCAGTGGTTTCTCCATGTTCAGTTCTGCATGTTGTATCTGATGTACTCACACAAGTGTTTAAATAGTGAAGCTCTTCCGATAGTTAACTTGGCCTGTCAGGAGGATAACAGCAAGGCGCCACCTCTTATGTCAGACCTATTTCGTGCCGGGAACTGACATTTCTCCTCCATTCTGTTTTGAGTGACGCTTCCCTTCCCTCATTGCTGCTCCTTCAGGGTTCTTCAGATACGGGAAATCTGAGAAGTGAGCAAGCAGTGAAGAAGCATATTGCTGTGGTGTTGCTGCTCTGCAGCTGCACAGTGCTCTGTATTGTCCCTCCATGGAGCTGGGAGCAAAGGGAGTGCATACGGAATGGGGCAGAACTAACACTATGTCACTAGTGCCTTAGTCAGAAACAGTAGGACTGACAAGGAGAGTCATCCCATCATTAGGTGGAATTTCTGAGGCTCCCTATGAACTGATAGGCTCCTTAGTGCTGCCTCTTTCCCAACTCCTAGAAATTAACTGACACCACTAGTGTAAGTGAAAGTAGAATGATGTATCTGCCAGGGAAACAAACAGATCCTTAAGACTTTTAGTACAAGGCAGATATATAAGAAGTTGGACAGAGTACCAGGAAAAAAAAAGACTATTTCCGAGACAGTAGATTGTTGAGTGGCTCCATGTGCAGCCTCATTTTCTAAATTACAGTTTGAGACTACATCATGGGTGTTTGGTATGGTAAATTGTAAAAACCTGTTTTGGGGGTCGGCCTAGATGATCTCCAGAGGTCACTTCCAAATTTAAGAACTCTGATTCTGTGAAAAGATATAGTGCCATGGACTCGTGATATTCAGCATCACCACTATTAGCTCTTCTTTTCAGAAGATTGTAGAGATTACTTAACATGAGAAGCCCATTGCCTGAGCACTTCTCCCTGGCTGACTTTTGTATCTCAAAGCCTGTAGCCATGGGTCTCCCATTACAGTGAGCACTGCAGGCAGACCCTGCTGTACAGCACATAAACATTTCCGGCAGAATTTGTGTTTGTTGTACTTCTCTGTAAGCAAAACAGGCATCTTTTTGTGGTACTGTTGAGGCTATTAGTAAATCAGATGTTCTAAAGCCTGCAGCAGAGTCTAACACAGCAGCATTTCTGGGCTAATCAATAGGAGAATGTGTAATGGTCCTGTATGAAATAATGGATACAAATACAGAGTGCAGATCTCTGTCTCATTCTATTGCTGTCTGTCTTGCTGCAGAACGTGGGTCTGTACACAGTGACCTCAACTCCTCTCAACTGTGGCCCCCAACTCCGGGTGCTGCTCCAGCGCCCGGCAAACGAGAAGCTACTGTTGTTGCTCCCTGTTGGCTATCCCAGGAAAGATGCTACTGTGCCTGCACTGACTCGAAAGCCGCTGGAAGACATCATGGTAGTCATGTGAGCCCAGTGCCACTAGGAAGAAGCACATTCCTACTGATAGCTTGTAAGCAGCAGCCCACTGAAGTTGTCACTGCTGTTTCTGTGTATCGTCCTCCTATATCACTGCTGTTCTGGCAGTTTACACCTGTATTCCTCTTAGTGCTAGTAGTCTACCAATAGCATTGAACAGTCACGCACTGTGCCTTTGGCAGGTGCTATTATCAGTGAGACCAGGCAGTTGTTCCAGGAGACATATACAATGGGATTTAAATGACCTTCATCACTTGATTATTCTTATGCATTGTAGGGATTAATCTTTACTTGAACATATATTTTCCTTATACTTTCATGATTACCCAGCTATTTTCACTTCAGAATTTTAATGGAGGTTGTATTAAAAGATATGAAAGGTCAAACTTTGCTGTCTTATCTTGATCAGTGTGTGCTATTTACTGTGCTCCCCTTCCCCTTCACTGTGTTCAGTTCTGCATAGGAGGAAGCCATTTTGCTTGTATATAGTAGCATTTTCCCTGCTTGACTGATCTAAAAAAACCTTGCCTACACCAGGCTTAAACTATTACTAGTACAGGAGTCTTTTTCTGGGGGAGATCTAGTAGGATCAAGATGTCCAAGTAATTTCCTCGTTACCATTTATTTATACATGTTCCACGCACTGTTAGATCATATGGCAGCTATCTAATGTGCTCCCTATATTTGCTACTTCTGCTGGAAGCAGCCCAGAGAAAACTACTACTCTAAATATCCTGTTTATACATACAACTATACCAGTTTAATACCCTGGATTTTAAATGGCTTTAGAGACCCTGACACATGAGAGATGCTTTCACGTCACACCAAATCAGGTGTATTTAGGTTTAAGACCGCTTCCTATAAAGGCAATGCTCCCTATTGAAAGCCCTGTCTACACGCAGGATGTGGCTGGGCACTAGCGCGAATTGCTCACTGGAAGGATGGACGCTGCCGATGCCTGCGCTGGCAGAGCCCCCTCGTGGGGTTGTGGTTCCTGCCGGCTCTGCCTGCGGCGCAAGATGAGAACACTGAAATCAGAGATGCCAGACCCTGAAGCTGTCTCTGTTCTGTGAAATCCTTTCCCACCCTGTTCTCTGCTGCATGTAACGTCAGGCAAATTTGGTCAGATTGGCTTCAGCTTTCTTTGGGTGCTGCTTGAGTTAACTTGCTGTGTCTTGTCTGAAGTCAGTCCTATTCAACGTGACCTGCTGTCTGTTGAGCAAGTGGAGGGGATAATTTGCAGAGGTACAGGGGTGTCAATGCCTCTGTCACACAATGAGAAAAACTGTTCTCTTCGGCAGAACATTTTGCTGGTACTTAGTAGGCATGACCATGTGTTCACCTGTTTTACTAGACCCATTTCAAATCCTCAGCAGTACAGCAATGGCAGGAAGAGTTTCCTGTGCAGACCTAGTCTGAAATGAGCTTTTATAACTACAGTAAAGTAAAAAAAAAAAAAAGACCTATGCATACATGCTTGCAAGGTCTAAAAGCTAGTCAGGGAGAGAGGGATGAGCTGAACCAAGCCAAGCCTGACAAGCTGCAGGTCTCCAGTTATCAGGAATACATATTAAAGCTGCTGTAGCAAGCTGTCCCTCTGTGCAGACGTTTGTCATACCACGCCATTTCAAAGAACAGTTCATACCTGCTGTACATGTATATAAGCCATGTTATTTTAAGTTTGTTCAGTTTCACTCAGAGTTCACATCAATCGAGAACTGAATCTCTATTGCTTTGCAATCTCTTTATAGCTACAGAAATAAATTGCTGCTGCCCGGACTTGGTGTGCAAAATAGATGGCATGTTTATTCCATGACAGCATTCACAGACACTTTTTCAGATGAATTCAGTTTCAAACAGCAGGAGTTTGCATATATAAGACTGTTTCTAGTATGGTTTCATAATTAAAAACCAAAGAACTAAACCACTTCTTTGAAAATATACAAAAAATCATCACAATTACAAACACTGGTATATAACAATGTACATCTTTGCACCAAAGAAGATTAATGGTGGCTTTTTCCCCCATGTGTTCATTCCAAAAACTAATATATACATAGTAGCTGGAAAAACAAAGCCCTCACACCTACTAGATGGGAAAGATTCTATCCAGGAAGGCACTTCTGGAATCACAGTGTAAGTAAAAGAAGGGTTATTTTTTTTTTTCTCCCATACAAATGCTTATTCAAATGCAAATACTCCAGTAGTATTACAATTGCTGATTATACTGCAGTCTCATATAAATCATATTAGTGCTCCTGTTGTGACAAGCCTACTTAGAATTGCCACTGTTCTCTAATAAGTGTGCTGTCTTTAAACACAAATTAAATAAGAATATCTTTTCCATGCAGAAGATTTGTAAGTAAAATTAAGGTTAGCATTTAAATTGTTTTACTAGGGATTTTTCCTTTATTTGGGTGAAAAATGTTTTTTCAGGAAGAGAACATTCTGGGAGGAACGTCTCCCACACAACCAGTAGGGATTTGATTTTTATATTCTTCTTCTTGTTCTGTTTGAAACCAAGATTAAAAGACTTGAGGAGATCAGCAAAAGATGCTGGAATTTGGTGTCTGTCTTCGTGATACCTTATGGCCACATGTCTGAAAGACTCTGGGCTCAGTTTACTTACTTCTAGAAAATGACTGTACACTCAGATGGTAACTGAGCCCTTTAGAAAACTTAGCTCTAAATACTAGTTTTCTAGAATCACAGAATAATTAAGGTTGGAAGGGACTTATCCATCCTCTCCAAAACTCTGCTCAAAGCAGGTCTATTTAGATCAGATCACTCAAGGTCTTGTCCAGACAAATCTGAAGAACTCTAAGGATGGAAAGTCCATAACGTCTTAAGGAAACTTGCATGGTATTTTTTTTCAATTCCATAGTGAAAAAATGTTTTTCTGCTATTTAAGTGGAGTTCTTCATGTTTCAGATCGTGTCTCTAGTAACTCTTGTGCCCTTTTGTAAAAGCATGACTGTTCCTTATAGCCGGTTATTTCCCTTGCTCATAATCAACAGTTGGATGCCACCTTGTGAAAACATGGGTGTTTTTTTGGGAAGGGAAAGCTGCTAACACTGAATAATATTTCTAGGATCTTTCTTTCTTGAACTGCGTGGATAAATCTGTGCACATTTAAGGACCCTCACTGTTTGACGTTTGTGAAAAAAAATGGACTTGAAATGAGGTGCAACATGGTACCCAGCATCACTACCATGATAATTAAAAGAATGAGTATCACGTGTTGTTGGATCCTGAAACCATGGGAAACTGCCTGTCACCTTCCACTGTGTGGCTGGCTAAACATTGCTTTTGGTATGCTCTTGAATGCAGACCTTTAAGCTATTGCAGTTTACCTGGTTCATTTGCAAAACAGCTGACCACAAACTGAGGCAGGGAAGCACTTCTGCTGCTACTCCTGGAGCAGCAGTATCTTACCCACTCCATCATCTTCCATTCCAGCCAGGTGAACCAGAACCCAACTGGTTCTGCTAGAAAGTGATTTTCTTTTTCTTAGTGATTCAGAGTGTAAGGTCTGAGGTCTCTGTTGTGCTGGTATATATGCCTATCTCCACTACAGCTTAGAACTCACCTGAGCTTCCTATAAACTACCAGGGCTGCAGTAACGATATAAATGCACTGCTCTTGGCTTGAAGAAAATAGCAGGTTGTTGGCATTTATCTTCTTCGCAAATAAGTTAAAGCACAGTGCTGCTGTCTTGCATCTGATGGAGATAACTGTGCCCAAGAACAGCTACTGAGTCTGAGCTGGTGTACAGGGATGTATTAAACTGTATTTTATCAGCACTTCTTACCAAATGAATTTATGCTAGTACAATAAAAGCAAAGCAAATTCTGCATGTAAGGGCATCTTAACATGTTGCTGTGTATCCTGCATGAACAGAAGAATGCAAGCCATAACCTCAGGTTGTGGTTTTGCTCTAAGCTGCAGCACCTCAAAGACTTTTTAGCAAGTAGACATGCAGTCAGCATCTGATTGGTTTATTTATTTTATTGCTACGTAGATCTCATGGATTAATGGAAAATGAATCTTAAGAAAGCATCTAGCTCATGCTCCAAGGCAGGATCAGCTGTGCCTGAATGCCAGGTACTGACAGAATATGATTATGCAGCACTAATCCGCTGCTCCCAGAAAAGCACTTGAAAGAAATGAAAACTTAAAAGCTGGTCCTACCAGAACATACAAGTGCTAGGAAGCTTTTTTTGTTCCAGAGGGGATCAGCCTTGGCTTCATGTTGCTGTCACTGCTCAGACTTCTGTGGATATCATTAGGAAGAGGTCGACAGTTGTGTTCTTTTTGAAGGGTTCCGCCCACTTGAGCTTAGTCATCCATAGTGCTTTTGCAGAACAGACATTTCATTAATGACTCAGAACTCTCAAGGCATTTCATTATGTCTTTGGCTAACATTCCTTGTAACAGACATCCTAGAGAGCTCTAACCTCTCAGTCAAGTCTTTGCCCATATAGATGGGACCCTGCACTGTGCTTGTGGAGTGTAAACAATGAGAACACTTAGTGGCATGAAAGCTGGGCAAGAAGCCCATTCAAATTTAAGATGGAAGAGAGTCCTTAAAGCTCGAATCAGCACAGCATCAAGACACCAGTCAAAAACCACACCCTGTTCCAGGTTGTGCGTATGTGTAATAACTTACACTTAAAAACCTTAGCTACAAACCTGCAACTGTATTGGACTAGTTCTGATTGAAGCACAATGAAGGCAGTCCAAGACTCGGGTAACACAGTCTAAGACATGGGAAAACAATGCTGGTCAGTGAGATGAGCGATGACCAGAGTGTCAAGGCATCAGTTAACAAGTATTTTTTGATACACAGCATCAAAAGAGGAGGTGTTTGAAGAATTTTTAAGTGCAGAACTGTGAAGTACTTGGACTTATTTATGAGGAGCTGTCCTGAGCCTGAGGGAAAGTTCTTGTCTTTTATATGAGGGTAGGATCTTGTAACTGAGATCACTGGTCTTAGCTTGAAAGGGTGAGACCAGTCAGACAGTTTTGCCCTAGGATGTGAATGTTGGTGGAGCTGTCCTAAGGAACTCCTCTTGCAAACACCATGTTCCAAGTATGTATATTGAGGGTAGGATAGACACAAGCACAGCTGTGGAGATGCATGACAATCACAGATGTGCTTCCAAGAGAGGATATGCTTTAACAAACTGACTTATTTTCCATTGGATATGCAATAGGGTCACTGGTTTGTAGATTGTGTGCTCGGTTTTAGTGAAGATTTTGTGTTGTTTTTGTAGTGCAAATAGTCCAAATATTGCAAGGCTTTTAACATTTTCAAACTATTCCTTTAGTTCACCCATAGGATGGCAAGAGTTCATGCAGCTTGCAGAAGGCTGTCATAGCCAAG